CAGTGTTTCCATCATCGTCATCATCAGTGTTTCCATCATCGTCATCATCAGTGTTTCCATCATCGTCATCATCAGTGTTTCCATCATCGTCATCAGATACCACGTTCCAATCAACAACAGTACTGGCCGTGAAAGTTCGGTCAACTGTCTCGCCATCTCCATTGACAAACGATAGAATGAATTCAGCATCGAAAGTGGTTGTAACGTTCACATCTGCAGCCTTAACATTGGCTTTAACCTCGGCATGGAAGCTTTGGCCATCATCCAATACTATTGGAATTGTGAACTCAACGGCACTTTCGCCCACAATATCAGGGTTGAGTTTTTGAGAAACACCATTGGTGAAAACTTCAGCATCGGCCTCATCAACAATCCAATTACCAGTCACTCTCACAAAGGTCAAATTGTATCCATCTTCCTCTGATAAGGCGTTGTTTGCAATCAATTTGAACTCCAATTCTTTATCGTCCGTGGTTCTGCCAGTGGCACCTGTTTCAATCCCGGCATTGTTGTCATCTTCAGAGGCCTGGGCTAACACTGTAGAAGCAAGAACACCGAGCAGTATTGATGATACTTTCATTATTTAAAGCTTTTCTCGTTGAAGCTCACAGAAATGAATGAGCCAGATGAGAAGAAGAGTATTCTGATAGATTTATATACACCTGCAGGCCCTCTGAACGTTTCTATAAAAAGACACAGGTTGGCCATAGTTGGTCTCCAGAACCTCGTGTTCTTAGTCACTGGTTTTGAGTTCCAGCCTCCATACGAGCTAAAATCAATTCGGACAGCTTACACACAACTTTCACACTTTTTCTGTGTCTTGACATAGAGGACATACTCTAATCTGATGGCCCAAGATGATGCGAATGAGTACAAATTTAGCAACACCTGTGGTTGTTGCTTGTCCGCGCATGAAGGCTGAAGCACGAATCTTCCATCTGCAGTTAACACATGATCATCGATTGGGAATTGTGGCTGAAGACTAAGCGTCACGGACTGTTTTAATGCTTCTCCACCTTCCTGACCCACGTTAATTTTGTTCCGCAGTACTTTAGTTTCAAAAAGTAATTCCCTTCGAAGCGCTTCCTGCGCGTCGTTACATGGCATGTGCAGGGTTTTCAGGTGCATCAGGGCCAACTTGTCCGTGCAGGGTCCTGTCTTACCAAACATTATCAAGGTTATGGCCACAGAGATTAAAAATAGGACAACTCGCACAGAAGAGAAATGTCCTTCAACTCTAAAAGAAGTTCTTTTAGAAAGATTTATAGATCTCTATTTATAGAGCCATAGTGAAGCTGAGAGGGGAAACACCAAGATCTGGTCGCTTCATAACGGTATGACGAAGGCTGTGACCTTACACCTTTAACTAATTTGAGCTCAGTCTAACGATCATACGCCATGTAGTTAGGTCATACTTTTTTGCTCCAGGCTATTCTGTTACACAATTGATCAATACAAGAGTGACATCGCCTATACTCTGACTAGTTTGAGTAATATCTGTACCGTAGTAACGTTGAATCTAACAAGTGGTGAGTGTAATAGCGTCTAAGCAATGCGACTGTTTGAAATACACTATGGTGGTTCACTAACAATTCTTCTTACTGAAGATTAATCTCTAAAAGTTAATAGTTTAGCATTCAATATATACTCAATGTATAGCATTGGCTGAGAGAACGTATACACGTTTCAAATAAGGACCAATGCAAAGGTTAACAAAGCAGCACATGCTCCTGTCATCAAGTTTCTCACACCAACATTTGCAGTTTCAAATGAGGTAGTTTGTGTAGAGCCTGAGGATGATGTGGACGGGGTTGTAGGGTTTGAAGATCCTGATCCTCCAGTTGTGGTTTGGCTGTCCTTTCCTGTTGAAGTCTTAATTGTTGGGGTGTCTCCTGGAGTTGTTGTATCATCGTCTCCAGATGTGGTAGTTTCATCGTCACCAGAAGTTGTTGTATCATCATCACCAGGAGTAGTAGTTTCGTCGTCGCCTGGAGTGGTAGTTTCATCATCACCAGGAGTAGTAGTTTCGTCGTCGCCT